GAAGTTGTTGACTGGGAGGTGTGCCCAAGAGGTACTTCAATTATAAGATCGAGGGCTGAGTAGTCTGGTTGAGAGACATGAGCAGTAGTTGGACAAGGGAGCTAAGACACCCTTGGGGCAGGAGGAAAGCATCTCTGAGCTCCAAGAGAAGCGGAATGAAAGGTCGAAGAGAAATGACGTCGCCTGGCATCTCAGTTTTGTGAACCCTTGCGCTTCTCTCCTCTATGCACAGGTTCCCACCCTTACTCTTCGAAGGACTTTCTCAAATACAAATCTAACAATGTCTCTCCCCGGCTTGAAGCCCTCCCTCCAAGGTCCACTGCCGACTTTCTGGCCTTACTCCACGCGGCCCGCCTCCTCCGCTCGTCCCCCTCCTCCCTGGCCTCCTGAGCTCACCCGATGCTCTGTCCCTTCACCTCAGCTATCCCTCACAGCCTCTAAAGTCCCAGGTCCTGAAGCCCACGACCTCCGGAAGATCGTGGCCATCACGGAGGCGCGAATGGATAAATGGGTGGACAAAGGCTCCAGAAGTGACTCAACCAGAGCCCCAACCATTACAGGAGGATACAGCGTGGGGGGGAGAGGAAGAAGAGCTGCGCAGGCGTAATAGGGCGGCTGCTAGACAGGTACTTGGGTGAACTGGAGCAGCCAATCCTCACGAAGAGGGGCGGGACCGCTTCGCGACAGGAAAGCCCTGCCCACACTGCCTGCACGAGAGCGAGTGGGTACGGATGGCTTCTTGAAAGGGGCCTCCTAGAAGCCTATGAGGTCTTTTCTGGCCGGAGTCGGCCAAAGTGATCCAGACCTTCACTCCAGACTCCGAGGGGGAGTGGCTGCCGCAGAGACCTCCATATCCCCGTTCTTGAGACACTCCCCCACACCGTTTCTGTATCCCCTTGTCTAGAAGGCTCTTAGATCTTTGCAGCGTGAAGGGCCCCTCCCGCTGCCTCCCCAGGGCGCTGGAGTCAGCCAAGGCCGAGATCCGGCAAAAGTCCGTCATCCCTCAAACTGCCGCTACCCTTCAGATGGCCCTCCTTGCACCCTGTCTTACACCCACTCACCTCCTGCTCTAACACTGGTAGGCAGGTGAGCAGAGTTAGGCTGCCTCCTTCCCCACGGTCCTCAAAGGGAGTGAGACCCAGATCTGTGGGCAAGGAGCCCAGCACCCTGAGCACACAGAGGGGGACCTGCAGGACATGTCAGAGAGAGGGGAAAGAAGAACAGGGGGCTCCTGAGGGAGACAGCACAGGAAGTGGTCCAGGTGGGAGTTCAGTATGTCTCAGAAACTGGCAGAAGCCTCAGAGGGCAGAGATTCCCTCTATTCTTGTTCTCTCATGAATGGGGTCTTTTCCCTATTCTACCAGACCCTTCAAAATAGACAATCTCAGCTTCCTACTGATGCCTGTGACATTCAGTCCATCTTGTAAGTTAGGAAGAAAACACGTCATGTTCCTACTATGTGCCAGGCTTGATGCTATCCACTTCCCTTTATCTCTGGTCAATCTTAGATAATTCCTGTTTTATTACCTTTCCTCAGGGAAATTAATGACTTTGAGGATGCATCTGTGTTCTTCGCAGAGCAATCAGTAGTGCTTAGAGAAGGGGAAAAGCACCGTTTGGGAGTGTGAGGGGCTGTGGCAGTGATTGACGTGAGCAGAAGAGAGTCCTGGGTGTGAGTGCCGATTTTCAGGCGGCCACTCTTGGCAACAGACTTCCCTCCTTCCACACAAGGTCTTTTGTATCATTTGCAGCACTGAGTCCAGAAGGGGAAGAGAGAGTTCAGAGCTGGATCTTGCAGCTTTCTCTCTTTTTGATACCTCTAGGTTCTCATCTGCACCCACCCAACTCAGGCTGGCTCTCCATCACCCACTCCTCCCAGCCTTTCATCATTGGAGTTTTGATTTCCGTGTAGGTCTCAGTGCCTCTCACCCAACTTTCCCATCTGGTAGGTAAGAAATCAGACCCAGGAGCTTCCCTGGCCGTCTAGTGGTTAAGACTCCGTGCTCCCAATGCCGAGGGCATTCCCCCTGGTGGGGGAACTAAGATCCTGCAGGCTGCCTGGCGAGCCCCCTCAAAAAAGAAAAGAAATCAGACCCAAAGGGATGGCTCCAGAAATTCTGATAAGGAATGCATGCCCAAGAAGCAGGGCAAGTGGCCAGCCCTCCTCGAAAGTGACTTCCTGAAAACAGCCTTCACTGCCAGTCTAGCCCCTCAGGAATCACACCTTGTGAACACAGTTGTTCATCCTAAATACTCCTAACAAATGAGACTCTTATTAATACACAAAGCTTTTAAAATTTTCTACACCCAGTTTCATGACTATTTGTAAGTGCTGGGTTTAACATCATCTAAGAAGCTAAATTCATTAGCTTGGGACCTGACTTGTGCCACTTCCAGTGTGGAAGGCATTGTTGCCCGCTGCTGAGTGTGTGTCTGGCCTTTGGGGCCTCTTAGAGGGGACAGATGCAATACTCAGCCCTGATGCACCTATACTGAACTTTGGCAAAAGGGGGAGATGAGGTGGTGACTTACTGTTGTGTGCTTGCAGAAGCCACACACAGGTAGCTGGGCTCTCTCTCCCTGGTTCTGCCCTAGGCTCAACCTGTCCTCTATCTTGAGCCAGTGTCAATACCACCTGGCTCAGGTGAAGTTTTCTTTCTACCTGTCAAAGGTGAAATACCTCATGGTGATAGGGGTGGGAGTGGAGGACCCCTAAAGAGGGCAGAAGCTTCAGGATGGGGCAAAAGCGCTAGAACCTTCTGGAGAAGTGGATCTGAGGTCCTTTTCATACTTCCTGGAGACCTTCCAAAGCACCTGGGACTTAAAGGGTCCTCTTCCTCAAATGCCTGCTTTCTTGCTGCTTATTCCCCACCGGAGGAGTCTGGAAACTTGAGCTGAGTCTCCATTCTGCTACCATGGCACAGTGTGACCTTAAGCAAGACCATTATCTTCTCTGGAGCACAGTTACCCCATGGGGGTCTCTCTAATGATGACCCCCTTTCTCTCATGCTGCAGATCTTACTGTGTGTATACCAGGGCCATTCACAGCTACAAGAACAGCCCCTGTGAACTGAGCAGCATAATCAGATGTCATCATCACAACAAACATTCAAAGTCGGCTCAGTCATCGTTCCCACTTCATGGATGAGCAAATAGGCAGGAATAGGGTAAGTCAGTTGCTCAAGTGCACATAGCAAGTAACTAACAGAGCCTGGATTTGACTCCAAAGTATGTGCTATTAATGGTTCTTCTGACTCTCGAGGTTCACAAACTCTCCTCACACAGGGCCTGGAAAGCATTCATTCCACACATACAAATTGAGGGCTGGTCATGGGTTGGCCCCGTGCCACTGCAGCCCCTCCACCCCAAACCTCAAAGGTATGTCCTGTTGTTATTCCATTTTATTATTTTTTTAAATAAATAAATTTATTTATTTATTTTTGGCTGCATTGGGTCTTCGTTGCTGCGTGCGGGCTTTCTCTAGTTGCGGCGAGCGGGGTCTACTCTTTGCGGTGCGCGGGCTTCTCATCGCGGTGGCTGCTCTTGCTGCAGAGCACGGGCTCTAGGCGCGCAGGCTCACTAGCTGTGGCACAGAGGCTCAGTAGTTGTGGCTCACGGGCTCTAGAGCACAGGCTCAGTAGTTGTGGTGCATTGGCTTGCTCTGCGGCATGTGGGATCTTCCTGGACCAGGGCTCAAAACTGTGTCCCCTGCTTTGGCAGGCGGATTCTTAACCACTGCACCACCAGGGAAGTCCCGTTACTCCATTTTAGAGGAGAGGGAACTGAGGCTTATAATGAAGGAGCTGCCTGAGATCTCCCAGTGAGCAAGTGGCAAGCTGGGCTTCACATCCAGCTCTTTCTGGTCTGGGAGCCCTGGTCTTAAGCTCTGTGCAAGAACTGAATCTTGAAAATAGCAAGCACCATGGAAGGTTTTCGTGAGGAGGTGCAACATGTTTGCACTAGGAAGGCCCTCCGGCTTCCTACTCACCTGAATCCTCCCCACCCTGTCTTTCAGGGCTCTGTCCTGCCCTCTGACCCCCAGCACTGGGAGCTGCTGGTGGCTTCCTGTCCTCAGTGACTCAACAATTCAATCAAAATCTATTTATCAGTATTGGGAATAAGGGCAGCAACAGTCTTGCTTCAGTTGGTCACTGCGCAGTGGGAGAAGAGGGTGAAAAGAGAGGAATCAGGGAGGCGGGACAGCAGAATAGAGGGGCCCGTGGTCATCCAGCGTCAAGGGCACAGGTCAAAGGCACATGGTGGGGTGAGGGACAGGAAGAGCTTGGCCAGCGGTGCACAAGGCAGACGCGGGGGTCTGCCGAGGGAGGCGGCCCACTCTTCATCCCAGGCCGGTGGTCCTCCCCTCACCCCCCCCCCCCCCCCCCCCCCCCCCCCTTCCCCCCCCCCCCGCCCCGGCAGCAGGCAGGAAGCGAGGACAGGGCGGGGGGCTTCTAACTACAGCTTCCGGTCCCCAGGGGCTAAGTGGTTGTCAGGATGTGGTCAGAGGGTGGGCGATCATGTGGGGTGCCCATCAGCCCCAGATCTCCCCCCAATGAAACCCAGTCCAAGGAAAAGCGATGCGACGGCCAAGTGAATGGAGCCTCAAGGCCAGCCCCACCGCCTCGCTGACACGATGTTCCCGGAACGCCCGCCCCCCAGAAGTCCTGGAACCCGCACTTCTGGCCCAAGTACCCAGAAATATCTTGTCCCCTTCCACACATTTCTGGGCCCCTCGTTTAGGATCTAGGTGAGCTAAAGAAACTGAAAGCCCCCTTCTCACGAGACGGGTCTGAGGCCCATCCCTCCCTTCCCTCCGCTTAGCCTCTGAGAGGGCCTGGGGCCCTCCCTCTGCTCGGCGGGTGTGGCAGGTGAGCCGTCTCCTTTAAGAGTGCACTGGGGAGAGGGAGCCGCAGGAATCTTAAGGAATCTGACCAGTTCCTTCGGCCCAAGAGTATTGTTGCCCTGGGCGGGGCTGCTGGGCTTAAAAAGCTGGAACCCACCTGGGCTGGACGCAGCTCCAGGAGCCTCCTCAGACCAGCTCTCTGCACTCAGCTCTCAGGTGAGCAAGTTTCCACCAGGACTTCGGGGCTCCTAGGAAAAGGGGTGGGGGCAGAGGGGGTATCAGTCTGAGGAAGGGGTGGTAGCTGCCTGAGTATTCTCAGTAACGTGTGTGTGTTTGGGGGATTGGAGGACTGGAGGCTGCCTGCTCTGTGCCCACTGTCATATGGAAGGAAGGTGGGGTGGAGGCTAGAGGAAACAGGAGCCAGTCTTTGGCCAAAGAATATGTAAAGTGGAGTTGTGACCCTCACGATCCAGGAATTCCAGGGTGGTGGAAGGGGCAGGGAGAGACAGATTGGCCAAAGGAGGGCCAGGTTTGGAAATTGCTCAGAGCCAACAGACCCCCATGTTCCCAAGGAGCGTGTTAATAGTTCCTCCTTCCTATGGCAAAAGGACCCATGTACTTGTACATTTACTTATCGTAACACGTTTCAGTACTTAACTATGTGCTACGCGCTATTCTTAGGCTTAACATATAGTAACTCATGTAATTCAGTTACAACCTTATGAGGTTGCTATTATAATTATCCTCATTTTTACAGGGCACTGAAGCACAGAGAGGTTAAGTAACCCAGCTGAGTCACACAGCTGTTAAGTGGCTGAGAGAGGAATTCTCTGGCACGTAATAACTGGGGTTGCAGTCTGGAACACTGACGACCCCTATGCCTGCCTGAGGCTAACAATAGGCAGAAAGCTGGTAGCGGTCTTATCTCAAGGACACAGCCACCCTAGGGACTAGTAAATGAAGATATGGATAGTTCCCACCCTAAGGAGAAAGAAGGAGCCATGTCCCACCCAACAGGCAGTTTCCTGCCAACAGCAGTTTGTACTCTGAGAGTGGAATTTGGGGCTACCTGGAGCAGGGCTTGGCCAGGGCTGAGGTGGGAGGCTCTTGCCTGTCCCTGGCACCTGCCCCCAATGCCTCTGCTTCCCCTGCCCAGCTGTTCACTCAGAGGAGTCCTGGGCATGCCCTAGGTGGAGGCTATCTTGGAATTCAGCCTGGTAGTGCCCCAGGCCCAGACCTTTGGATAGCCCGAGGCCTGACAACCTTAGCCCTTTGAGCCAGGGGTCAGGAAGGCAGGCACCAAAGCCTGAGTTAGAACAGCAGCCCTGCTCTCCTGATGGTGTGTCAGGCATCTGATTACCAGATTTTAACAAAACCTCATATGGCACTTACTATGCACAGGCACTGCTCTAAGCACTTAACTCCACAAGGCATTACTATTATCATCTCTAGACAAGGAAACAAATTAGTAACTTTTCCAAGTCGACCCCATAAGCAAGGACAGCCTTGAGATTTGTGCCACCAAGTGCCGTGAGCCTGGGGCCGGTCGGGGCTGTCTGACCCCAGCCTGCCCCCTTCCCCTGCAGCCTAGTCCTGCCGCTGTGTCATGGAGGGAGTGGTCCGGGGCCTTCTCCTCCTGCTGGCAGGTGAGTCCTCCCAGAGGTGACCCTGCTGTCACTCACCCACCCACCCACCAAGGCTGTGAAAACCAGGACAGCATCTCACAAAGGGGGCCTGATGTTGAATGAATGTGTTTTCATTTCAAATGTCAACTTAAAGAGAAACATAAAGGAAGTAACGGTACAGGTAGGAAGTAGCTATTGCAAAAGTTACCCGGGTTAATGGAACTTTGGGAGCTAACCATGTGTTGGCGTGAAGAGAACAGCATTCCCTACTTCTTTAGGAGGCAGAGCATTAGCCAGGACCTGTGTAGGAAGCTTTTCAGGAGAGGGTAAAAAGATACCAACACACCATCCCATTTTGAGTGTAAGAAAGAATAGCAGGAAGCCTGAGAAATTGCTGGAAGGGCTGGGGGGGGTGGGGACGGAGGGCGGGGGTGGGGGGCGGACACAAAGACCAGGAAGTAGGAGACAAAATCCCAGGTCTGTTTGGGGGTGCGGAAGGTGTGAGGAAAGGAACCGGTGACCTCAGGGCCCCTCCATCCCACCTCCCCAGAGTCCCAACGAAGCTGGCTGTCTTTGCGCCTCTAGGCTGGGGTCCTGGCTGCTGATTCATTTTGAGACCAGTGCCATGAATTAACAGCCAGTCCCTCTGCTTCTCTCACCCAGGCCTGCCCGTCCTGGAAGCCAATGACCTGGTTGGTGAGTAAGGCCCCAAACTGCCCTGCTGGCCCTGCCTTAGCTGGCCCTAAGACCCCACATCCTGCCTCCTGGCTCTGGTCCTTATTTATTTTTTTTATGTTTTCTTTCCTGCAGATAAAGACAGTCCCTTCTACTATGGTAAGAGCTGATATCCCTTGCCCCCCACCCCTACCCTTGCCTATCCTGGACCTCTTTGCTAGGGGTTGGTGAGGGGTGATGTGGAGCCCAGTGTAGACAGAGAGGGCCTTGAGGGAACAGGGGAGGAGGGGCAGAATGGGGCTGAGACTGGGGATTAAAGAACCAGAGTCGTCGTCATCATCGTCGTCGACTAAAAGAGTGACAGGCCGACTCATAACATGGTCTTTGGGAGAACTTCATTCCAGCAAGGAGGTAAGGTGCCCACAGGATGTTTAGGAAGACTTCCGGGGAAAGGGGCTAGAGGCACCTGGCTAATCTCCTTTCTTCAACTCACTCTCTCTTGCCTTCCCCAGGACCAGCTCCTTGCTGCCTGACACGCCCCAAGCAGGTTTCCGCTCCCTCTGCCTGGCACTGTCCCCCAACACAGTCCTCATGTGCTCCAGGTCTCAGCTCAAATGCCACCTTTCAGAAAAGCCTTCCTGGATCATTCTTCAAAGCCCATTCTTTTTCTGTGCTCTTCTGCTTGTTTTTTCTTCCTATCACTTGTTCCCGCCAGGTATTAGATGATGTACTTACTGGCTTGTCTTTCTTGTTGCCTGGAATGTAAGTGCATCTGTACAAGCAGGTGGTCATAACTATCTGTTGAACGACTGGGCTGGAGCCAGGCTGGTGCCAGCTCACTCTCTATGCTCCTCTAGACTGGGAAGGCCTGCAGCTGGGCGGGGTGATCTGTGCGGCGCTCCTGTGCATCGCTGGAATCTTGTTCGCCCTGAGTGAGCAGTGGGACTGGTGGGGCCGGGGTGGGGGTGGGGAGCAGGTGGGAAGGGGGTGGCTCAGGCTCCCCAGGCTCTTTGAACTGGCTGTCTCTTCCTTCACAGGTGGCAAATGCAAATGCAAGCAAGATCATAAGCACAGGTGAGACAGGGCCCTGTTGTGTGCACCTTGAGCAGAGCAGAGCTATCTGGCGGTAAAGCCCTACAATTTGGAGAAAGAGGACAGCCCCCGGGCTGTCCCTGGGCTTGCAGTGGGATTTGTCATTCACAGATCATCAACCCTGAAGGACCCCAAATCAGGGAAAGCTCTGACCCTTCGTATTGTGTAAAGTGGCACCAGGAATCTTGGTGGGGGAAAAGGACAGAAGGCTTGAGGATGCTAATCTGACGTGTTCCTTTCTCAGCTCCTTACCCGAGAAAGCTGTTCCACTCATCACTCCAGGTGAGACAGGCTTCGAGAGGCTTCCAGGCACTCAGGCAGGATAGCCATATAATTTGAGAATTAATAAATTTTATGCTGTAAGGCAGGCTGTCCTGAGCCAGCCTGCCTTGGGGTCACCTGAGGCTGAGGGGGGTGTCCGTGGAGTGACCCAGTTTGTGAAGACCTGACCTCCATTCTCTCCACAGGCTCTGCCAGTACCTGCTGAGCACAGGACCGGCTTCACGGCACTTCCTGCACCAGCTCCCATACTGTCCCCTCCCCCTTGGGGGGCTTTACCCTTCATGATGGCCTTTCTCTCCGAGGGTGGGCCCTTAGGCTCCCTTATGCTCAGGAGGCTGTCCAGAGCTTATTTCTAAATTAAACTTTTCTCCTCCCTCCTGTGGTCTTACGACCTTCTGTGGGTATGGTTAGGGACAGGCAGGCTGGAAAGGGACAAGGAAATCTTGCTCAGGAAAGTCCAGGCCCCTCAGCGGGAGGGGGGGGTGTCCCATAGATTGCTTATGCATCCTGTGGCCACATATCTGTCCTGAAGCCATTCCCAGCATGCCCCCCACTTTGAGGACCTCCTGATAATTGATCTCCTGCCTCACACATGCATGATGCAAGACATCTCAATGTTCTATCAAAGAACCTTACAATTTCCACACCTTGCCTGGAGACCTTATAAGTCCCGATGACCCAGATACCCATGACATCCTGTAACCTAGAATGATCCCCAGTCGTTTGCCCTCTGCTAAGACCCCACCTCACTCAGTGAGTGCTCACACAGCCCAGGAAATGGAGCAATTTCTTCACTAACTCACCCCAGTAAAACCCTATGAAATTCTCAGACCAACCCATGGACCCTTCCCCCACTCTGGGTGATGTCCCGTGAGACCCCCACTATAAGCAACATCCCAGCAAGCCCTGCATAGTGCATTTTAGAAACAAAACCCATCCATGCCAACCTGGGTCTCAGTATGTCCAAAGTCCATTTCTGGAATACCTCACTTGAAAGGCCCCAGCATGCACGGGGTGGGGCTGGGGAAACAGCTCTCCCACCTGGGCAGCCTGTTCATCCTGCAGCCTCACCCCGTTTGCCAACCTCCATATCCTAAGGTGGGAGGAGCTGAGGCATACTAGCAGAGACCCTGGGGTGGAGACAGGCTGGGGCAGCAGACGTCTGCCCTGTCCCTGCCAGGCAGTGGCTCACAGTCTGGGTCTGGGCTGATGGGGCAGCCACCTGTCTTGGTGTTGCTTCAAGCCAGCTCTCTAATGGTACCCTGCTCCAAACCTTCCACCAATTTCCCAGCGTGGTACTAGATCCTCTGCAAAGTATAGTGGATCCAAGACTTGTTGGCTGTAGTCAGGAGGCCAGCACAAGGGATTCTAGAGGCTGAAGACCCCACTTCCTGGTCTGCAGCCCTCCCAGGCCCTGAGATCTAAAAACGAGGGTCACAGGAACTTCCCTGGTGGTCCAGTGGGTAAGACTCCGCACTCCCAATGCAGGGGGCCTGGGTTCAATCCCTGGTCGGGGAACTATATCCCACACGCATGCCGCAACAAAGATCTCGTGTGCTGCAACTAAGACCCAGTGTGGCCTAAATAAATAAATAAAAATGAGGATCACAGACCTGTTTAGGGCCCTTGAATAGGACACATAAGCAGGATGAGGGGACAGTTCCAAGGCTGGCCCAGAGCTACAGCAGGAACTCCAAGAACCTGAGTGGGACTCAGGATACCTGGCTGAAATTGCAGCCACTCACGGTCCAAGGTAGGTGAGGGAAGTGTGGCAGGGAGCTACGGGGGGCCTCTTAGGCCTTTAAGATCCCAGCATTCTGAACCAGATACATGCTATGAAGAAAGTAAAACAAGCGTGCTGCAGCGGCTGGGTGCATGGGCAGCAGTGGGTGATGTGGTCAGGTCAAGAAGTGACATCTGAGCTGAATCCTCAAAGGTGAATGGTGGGAGGGGCCAGCTGCGCAAACTTCTTTCCTGGTAGAGGGAACAATGGTTTCTTGCCTTTTGAGGACCAGAGGAACGTCGGTGTGACTGGCACGTAGGTGATGAGATCAACGAGGAAGCAGGTGCGGCCACTGCAGGGAGAATTTTGCCCCATCCCGAGCTGGGAATCAATCGAGGGACCCGGATCTGCGCATGCGGCGGCAAGAAGAAGGCAGGAGCGCAGGCGCGCGGAGCCCAAGGAACGGCGTAGCCCGGACGCGCCGCAGCGTCATCCGCCCAAAGGCGGCCTCCGACCCCGCCTTTTCGTCCTGGGGAGTGGGGTGCATGTCCCTCTCCTCCTTGGACACAGGAGGATGCTGGTGTGAATGGGTTGCATTGGAGAATGTAAAAATGAGCTCCGCCTAAGAAAGCAAAGTCTGTGGCCTTACGTGGGGCTAGAGTGGCAGACGCGGAAGCGATATTGGCAGAACGCCCCCTTCTGAGTGACCGACAACTGCTTTCTTTTAGAAACTCGGGTTCCTACCATCACAAACGGTGAGATGCTCTGCTGTTTGAAATCCAATCAGTAAGAAGAAAACCCCATGCTGCCAGGGTAACCTAAATCACTTTGACGCGAGATTCAGCTTCAATTCCTACCCGGGCGTCCAGCCCCGGAAGAGGGGTTTCTGGCGCAATATTCCACATCCATCTTAACGTTTTGGTTTCCCAGCTCCGCTTTGCGGTGGAGACCAGCTACACACAGTCATGATCTGCTTTCAGCCTGCCAAACAGCCTGTCCAATTTCGCCTGAACAAACGCCAGTTTCCTTATGTCCCATAAGCAACCGAAGGGCCCCACGACCCCCATACCCCCAACGTGTGCAGCTCCGTCATTGTCAAGTCAGTGAGCCTGGCTTTCTACAGTACAGGCTCCTGCCTGGTGGTTTAGGCTGATTCTACCTGTCCAACCAAGGCTGGGGCAAGGGGCTCATGGAGGGCATCTGGGAGCCTGGGTTAATCATGGTTGGGAAAAGTCACGGACTGTGATGGGAAGGTGGCAGGAGAGAGCCATGCAGGATGGAGTCGGTGTTAGCCTGTGAGACTGGCGCATGGGCCCTGGAGTTGGGCTGCTGATTCCCAAGGGACATAAGCTCTCCTCTCTTCCTTCCCAGGAGTAGGGAGTGGGAAAGGTAGTCAGTCATAGGACGGGAGGAGCCTCTGCCCAGGCTTCACCGTGTGGAATTACTTGCTGTGCCTCAGAGGCCCCTTCCTTGGGCCTGTTTTCCCTGGGGAACAGGGGGTTGGGGGTGTAGGGAGGCTGGCTTTGTCTCAATTCCCATCTCTTGTCATCTCCTAGATGAGGGGCTGACCAGGAAAGAACCAGAGAAAGCAAAGGGTAATTGAACACTTAGTACTTTATGGGCACTGTTACAAACACTTCACACATGTTGATTTTCCCAGCAGCCTATGTGACGTGGATTCATATTATGCCCACTGTGCATAAGAGACCTAGGTTCTCACAGGTCATCTTACTTCTGAGCCATTTCTGAACGACTAGGCTACACTGCCTTTTCTGGTATTTATCACTATCTGAGAAAGACCCGAAGGACTGTACCTTCTTGGGGACTATGTATCCCTCCCCACTTTTTATTTAAACAATCTTATGTTTTTCCGAATGCAAGCCTCTTTCATGCTTATTACAGAAAACTGGAACATTACAGAGATGGCTCACTTAGAAGGTAAACCAAATTCTAACCCAGCACTCAGAAATAATCAAGGATAAAAGTCTGTTATACAATCAGAGTATTCTATAATTCTCTGGAGCTCCAGATTGTTACATGAACCAATAGTTCATTACTTTGTTTTGCTGAGTAGTAGTCCCAGGCAGTGTTGTATTAATGAACACAGCTTGGGCTGCAGCCTTACCTCAGGGCACTGCGCTTCCCTCCCTCTGCTGGACATTGTCCCAATTCCCCAGCATCCCTGCATCACCAATTCCCTTCCTCCTTTAGGCCCTGCCCTTTCAGGAGGCCTCCGGGCCGGGCCACTCTACAGCTGTACCACCAACATGCGACCTCTCATCACTGTTCACTGCTTCTTCTCTTTGTACTCGGCCCTAATTCACATACTACTTATATTTTACTGATTTATTTGATATGGTCTCCTACCCCTACAATAATGTAAATTCAAACTGGCACCTCAAGAATTTTCTGAGTTTGGGCTCACAGGTTTACTTGTTTTCAGATTGTTGTTTTATGATTCCCACCGAATGCATATTGGTCATTTTAGGCTTCTCATGTTCTCAGGGTAATTTTAAGAAATCTGGTTGCATTCCTTCCACCAATCCCCTCACAGATAATAACAACACATAGGTCTTATAGTCATCCTATGCCTACAACTTAAGTACACAATATCCGGTACCCTACCAAAAATATCCATGCATAAAAGACAAACTTAAGCCAGACAGACAACATAAACACAGAAATGTAGATGTTGGAACGATCAGACTTTAAAAACTGTGAGTAATGTGTTCAAGGAATGAGCTATATGGAGATTTTCAGAAGAAAATTAAACCTGTGTTTTTGGTTAAATTGTGTCCTCCAAAAAGGTATGTTCAATTCCTAATCCCCAGTACTTGAGACTGTGACCTTATTTGGAAATAGAATCTTTGCAGATATAATCATTTTAAAAAGAGGTCATACTGGATTAGGATGGACCCTAATCCAATGACTGGTGTCCCCCTAAAAGGAGGACAATTTGGACACAGGGAGAAGGCCGTGTGCCACCCCAGGCAGAGAGGGAAGGATGCAACTGCAAGCTAAAGAACACCAAGACTGCCGGCAGGCACCGAGGCTAGAAGAGGCAAGGATTCTTCCTCAGGGACTTCAGAGGGAGAATGGCCTTGCCTGCACCTTAATTTTGGCTTCTTGCCACCAGAATTGTGAAAAAATTAATTTTTCTACATTATGTAAAAAAAAAAAAAATTAAGAAAATTTTACAACTAAAAGTTCATCAGTTCTTAAACATAACGGATGTTTAACAACCAATTAGACTTAGCTGAAGAGAATGAGTGATTGGAAGATAGATAAAAGGAATAAAGACACAGAAGAAGGAAAAAGTATTAAATAAAATCCAACATTTACTAGCGATTAAAAAATAAATTTATACTAAACCTTAAGTAAATGGAAATCTCCTAAATAAAGGGTATGCAACCAAAAACCAGTATTTTAATGGAGGAATGTTATTGAAAGCTTTCAATAAGATGCCCTCTGACCCCAAATGTGCAGCATCACATTTCCTAATGATAAAAAATAAACTTACCTTTCTTTGCAACAAGGCAAAGAAAAAAGTACATAAGGATTAGAAAGAAATTAATCAAAATGTCATTATTTGCAAATGGCACGACTTTGTAGAAAATCCAAAGAATCTACATTTAAATCAGCATAGGTAAAAGATTTTAGCAAGACCACAAAGGTCAATATAAAAATCCAGTTTTGTTTTGTTTTTTTAATCCTTGTATTTCTAGTCCCAGGAACAAACTCTCAGCAAGAGAAATTTAAAAGACACCATTTAAAATATAATAAAATACCTAGAAACAAGTCTAACAGAATGTACAAGAATTTTTACACAAAAACTAAAACCAAAACTGAGATACCGTAGAAGAGCTTCAGGACTTGATGCAACTGCCAACACTCAGTGCAGGGTGAGCACAGTAGCTCCAGGAGCTGCTTTGAATAGTAAACGGCTCCCTGCTGCAGAGAACGTCGTGTTGATTCCTACCACTCAGGGGCTGAGCTGCCACTGTGTAGTGAGACATCAGAGACACCACACAAAACCATTTAGAACGCAGATACCTGGATGATGGAGCCTACTCTGTCCTTTGTAGCAGATGGCAGGGCAGCTTGCAGAATCCAGGCAGCCTTCTAGTCACCTGGTAATTGGGTATGAGCACTATTTTCAAGTGTAAAATAAGGTTTCTCCAAATCCAAAAGGTCCTACCAACAGTTATGCCTCTTTCTTGGTGATGCAGTATCTTGACCTTTCCATTGGAGGAAATGTTCCAGTTCTGCCCAGGTCCAGAGGTCAGCAAACATTTCCTATAAAGGCTCAGAGAGTAAGTGTCTGCTAGGCTTTGTGGGCCACATGGTCTCTGATGAAACTACTCATCTATCTGCCGGTGTAGCTCAAGAGCAGGCTAGACAAAATAAATGAATGCACATGGCTGTGTACCAATAAAACATTATTTACAAAAACAGGCAGCAGGCCAGATTTGGCCCATGGACCCTAGTTAGCCAATCCGTGCCCAAGACCATTAGACCCTGAAAATGTCCCTGATATGGCAGAGCCCTGAATTCTTCCACCCCCTAGCACACAGGTAGGTGTCTTCCTAAGGCATCCCAAGTACTCACTGCTTCCTCCTCACCAAGACCAATGAGCATGTCATCAATATAGTGGATCATGGCAAGGTGATCAATGTCTCTCCAGACTGTATTGTAACAGAGAACAGGAGTTACTATACACTTGGAAAAAGACAGGGAATGTGTTCTGATGTCCATGTTATAAGGTCATTTAAAAAAAATCTTTTGCTTGACTCTGTTTGAAAAGAACATATTCGCTAGGTCAGGGGCTTCCCAAGTCCCAGGGTCTTGTTGATCTATCCGGGCAAACACGCCACATTGAGCACTGAGCTGTGACTGGGGCAACTACACGGTTAAGTTCCTGGTCTTTCGCTATCATCTGCTGGAATCCATCTGCTCTTTCTGCGGAACAGGCAGGCAAATAAAAAGTGCTAGGCTTGCCTTTTTATTACGTGTTTCAGCATGGCCCTAACCCCAGACGTTGCACACACATCACAGAATCTTTGTTCACTGTCTTGGATGGGGAATGCCTTCTGAGAGGTTCCTCTTGGCCTTTCCTACCATGACGACTCTTCACAAGCCAGGGACCCAGTGTGGGGTATCTGTCAACTGCCTAGGGTACCCCTTCCCACTCACTCAGGGAGATAACCTAAGGGGTCTGCAAACCTGTTTAACCCACAATGAAATGAACATGTCACCTGGACTTCCTATGCTCCCAATCTTAACAGAAGGACCATGATCGCACTTTGGATCCCCTGGTATCAGTATCAACTCAGACCCCCTATCCAACAGCATATAAGAGACTCGGGTCATTTCCTACCGCTGGCCGCAGAGGGGAAGAAGTATAGAATCTTTATTACATAGTTGTTGCAATGCTGTCAGGCCCTTCCTCCACTCCAGTTGATGGTCTCTGGGACTGAGACCTGGCTCTGTTCTGGAAATAAATATAACAGACCTCAGAGCTGTGCCTGTATGACCCCTGGACACACAGAGGTCTGACAGCCTTCACCACAGATCTGGCCGGGTCAAGGCTCCTCCTGCCTCTCGGGTTTTGGTGCCCATCATGACAATTATGCTTACCTCACCATCTGATGATTGCCACCACCTGATCTCTGCTCTTCTGGAATCCTTTTACCCCTATTTTCTCCTACTGCCAACCCTGGCCAAGAGCTTCCATTAATGTCTCAAAATGCTGGTGCGCCTCACCAGCACGTTATCGAATTTAGTGGAATGTCCTTGGATCCTTCCAGGAGAACATCTTTTAGCTGGTGTTTTTTCTGGCCTTAAATACTAATCTTCTCTAGCATGCCCACCTGAGTCCCCCAACCCCCTTTCTCAACACCCAGCATCTCTTCCTCCTATAGGCCATCATCTACAAGCTTCAAGGGTCAACTCTAGATTAGGATGGGCTCCAAGAATGCTTAGAATTTACATCCTGAGTCACAAGAGATGCCCCACATCAATCGTTTTATACTCAACCCTCTGGCCCAGCATCCTCAAGATCCCCTTGTGTGCTACGGCTCCTGTTCATACATACTAATCAGGCCCTGCAGTTTCCTTCTGTGCCACACTCAGTCCTGATACTAGTTTTCTGAAACAGGAGTCAGTCATTTCCTTTAAGGGGCTAGAAATAGTAAAAATTCTGCAGGCCAAGGGAAATTTGAAGTTTTCACAAAATTTTTTTGGATAAAACTAACACTAAGAGCAGTATTTTGAACTACAGGTCTGCTAATAAGAATGGTATTCTTTTGGGAGAGATTCTAATTAATCGGGGTTTCCTGCCACCAAATTGACTCAACTGGAAACCATTCTTAGCTCACGAGTTATACTATATACTAAACCATATGGCAGGCTGGATTTGGCTTACCAGCAGTTTGCCAGCTCATTCTTCCAGCAGACTTGGAGAGCAGATATTATCTGATCAGCCACATACCTCAGGTGATGCCTCTGTATAAGTCTTTCTTCTAATTAAGAGGCACCAAAGCAACTGCTGCTGGCCCAGAAATTTGAGTCACTGTGGGATTTAAGGGCATCTAGCACATCCCCAATTTCCCACCCCAGGTTCTTGGAGCCCACTCCTTCCATATCTGAACCTCAAAATTAGCAAAGATCTACGGGGAATGAAACGTACTCCTTGAACCTTCACTGCCCTATTAAGCCTTGGTCTTTTTTTTTTTTTTTTTTTGCGGTACGCGGGCCTCTCACTGCTGTGGCCTCCCCCGTTGCGGAGCACACGCTCCAGACGCGCAGGTCCAGCGGCCACGGCCCACGGGCCCGTGGGATCTTCCCGGACCAGGGCACGAACCCGCAACCCCTGCTTCGGCAGGCGGACTCCCAACCACTGCACCACCAGGGAAGCCCAAGCCTTGGTCTTTTAATCACATCCTAGCCCTTGCCATCACAGGTTTCATGAACTCCCAGGTTTTCTGCCTGGGTTTCTCTGGGTCTTTCTCACAACCCAGATGGCCTTTGCCTCCCTACAGTGGACTGCCACTCATGAGATGAGCAGACTGTGAACACAGCCCAGAACAGATGCGTGGTCTCTGCACAACTCACCTGCTCCCCAATTATGCTATCCAGTCTTCTCAGTTGACCTTCCCAGTTCTGCCTCTGGCATTACTGGGTTATGCTGCTGCCCTATCTCCAGCCACCTGAGTCTGTAGAACACTAGTGGGAAGAATGGCAGGGTGGGGTTGTGAAGCCCAAAAAAGCCAAGAAAGGCCTAAGACTCTCCAATCTACCTATAAAACCATCAGAGGCTTGGCTAACACAGCAGCTTCTCTGTAAATGAGGCCAGTGCCTTAAAATGAAAATACCATACAAAGATCCTATTAATGCTGGTGAAACTTGGATAACTGGGCTACATTGTATAGTTATTAAAGTGGAAAAATAAAGCTGGGAAAGTTAATAGCTATCAAGCAAAGTTCTTTTTAATAAACCTCATTCACACTTTAAAGTCTTGATGGTTTTAGTGTGTTAAGTTTAAAATGATGGATCGCTGTGTGCAGAGTTACCTGAAATTTGGAACTTGTTTCCAACTGCCAGATAGACAATTTTTTTTTTTTTGCGGTACGCAAGGCCTCTCACTCTTGTGGCCTCTCCCATTATGGAGCACAGGCTCCGGACGCGCAGGCTCAGAGGCCATGGCTCACGGGCCCAGCTGCTCTGCGGCATGTGGAATCTTCCTGGACCGGGGCACGAACCCACGTCCCCTGCATCGGCAGGCGGACTCTCAACCACTGTGCCACCAGGGAAGCCCTAGACAATTTTTTAATAACAATTTGGAAATAGGTTTCAAACTTGAGAGTATGTGTATCCTGCAATAACCAGTAACTGTAACCCAGCAGCGTGTGCTACAGAAATAATCCTAAGTATGGAACAAAGACTGTTTAAATCAGCACATCTTATATAAAAAAACAAACATAAAAATTGTGGCTAATGACTCAGTGTATGTAGCACACAAAACTAAAAATCTCTAGCTATGAACAGGTGCCACCCGGCATAAAGGAAGGGAACAGCAGGACATTACAAATGGCTGATGAACAGAACACAAGTCACAGGAAGATGGGACTGTAGGCTTCTACTCTCATACTTTGTAGTCACCATTTCCACTCATATATTTAATGTTTTTAAATCTGAATGTTTAATTTAGCCTCGTTTTAAGAATACAAGGGAAATCATAGTGCTAAATTTTAAAATTCACACTGAAATACAGTAGTAAAATGAAATTTTCAACCACCCAGTCATTTTGCTATTTTTTGGTGAGTATATAGTCTGTGCCAGTCATTGTGAAAAAGTCTTTTTATTTTAAGAAAAAAATTTAGTCAACAAAAAAAATTTAACAAGTTTCACTTAGCAAAATACACCCAAAAGGAAATCACAGTACAAAGAAAGTTTTAAGTCAAGGCCTCACCAATTCCTACAGTATTAGTAATGTGTCTCAATTTTCAAAACTAACTTTTAAAAAGCTTAAACTTAACCTAAAAGATTTTAAATGAAAATAAACTAGAATGAACAAACATGAGAAATGTTCCTCTTTGAATTAGGGATCTAGCACCTTGAGTTTTCCAAAAAAGCACACCTCCCCAATGTGTTCACGATGATGTGGTGTAAAAGATCCACATTTAATGTACTTAAAACTACTTTAACTCAGATAACATCACTCCAGAAAGTACACTACCAAAATGTTGAGAAAAGCTGAAAATGGTTTTAGTTTACTCAATATAACATGCTAGAAGAAAGTTTGCATGAGAAAACACTGAAGAGGTAATTTTTTAATCCAGATTTTACAAACTCATGGTGCAAAATGGGTCCCACAGCTTCCTCTAGAGTAATAACTGCTTTTCACTGCTTGTTGGCTGCCTGTGAAAATCTGATGAAATAACTCAAAAGCTACTACAAAACTAGTCATATCCACTCATGCTATTCTGGCCACCATAGCTAGCCGCCGCCCCATAACAGCCACTCACGGATTGGCTCTCAAGGCCACTGTAAGTGGACGGGGTTGACACCCCTATGCCTTGCATCATCTGGCTGCTATATGCCCCGTTGCTGGACCCTGTCGTGGAATTCAAGAAAAGTTCTATGTATCTGTGCTGCATGTTAGCCCTGTCTTTGGACATGGCCGCCACAGCTTCTTCGTGAGTGGCAAATTCGACATCAGCTTCACCGGTCACTCTTCCATCAGGGCCAATCTCAATATGGACTCTCACTGGGTTGAGTGGAGAGAAGAAGTTGTAAATGTCGTTCTCCGTGGCTTTGTAGGGCAGCCCTCTCATGTGGACACAGTGTCCAGTGGTGCTCTGGACAGTGAACTCACCATCTCCATACCTTTGGTCATACATCCCAGAGAGACAGTAACTGAGGTCTCTTCCAAACAGGTCGGTGGTGAAGCCGTAGCCATCGCTGAGGCCACTGTACTCCTCATAGCCCCCATAGCCTGCACTGTAGGCACCAGACCTCATCCTCTCCAGGCCTGCTTGCTTGACAATGCCGATATACCTCCTGGCTGTGCCAGGCCGGTCATAGGGCCCCGGCCGCTGCACTGACATGAACTTCAGAGGGGGATCCGAGTATGACCTAACTTCTTCCTGACTGCTCTTGAACACCTCAATATACCTGTGCCCTATTCTCTCCTTGTGCTTCCCTAGAGCCTTCTCAGCTAACTCCTGTGAGGCAAACTGCACAAAGGCTTCCCCTGTAATCTTGCCCTCGGGGTCCACAGGCAATGTGATCCCGTTTGGCACGATTTCCAACCCTGAGAAGAACTGAATGATTTCTTCCTTGGTGCATCCAAACGGGAGTCCTCGAAGTCGCACGAAACCATCATTGGCGGTGTCAGCACTGTTTGGACCACTGTGCTTCAACACCCAATCCATCTCGGTTCTGTGGGACTTGAACACCTCAATGTACCGATGTCCCATGCTTTCCCTGTCTTTTTTAAGGGCCATTTTTACATCATCTTCTGATTCAAGTTCAACAAAAGCCTCACCACTCTGCCTGCCTTCTCTAGTGTAGATAAAGTGAACGCCTGCGACCCCATCATGAATTGTGCAGTCGGAGAGGAAATTCTGCACATCCTCAACAGAGCAGGACCAGGGCAGGCCACGGAGCTTGACTACAAAGCCTTCACCTCCCTCGGGGCCCAACATCATGGACACTTGACAGAGCAGACGTCAAACAAACTTGGATGCGGCTTTTTGTGGCTGAAAAGAAAGCAAAAACTACTTTACATAAATTTTCATTTAATATGTATAACAAGAATATACAGTAAATAGTTTCCATTTTACAGATGAGGAAGGATGAGTGAAATTAAAGATGTTAAGATATATGAGCAGAGATTCAATCCTACGTCTCTCCAAAAATAGTTACATTACTCACAGATAGATTGAAAATAACAAATTAACAAATTAGGGGGTCTTTAAAAAAAAAGTGAAACAATAGAGAGTAAAATTTGAAGAGCAAAATAGTGATCTGGAAGCTTCAATCAATAAGACAAAATCTACAAATTCTTATGATCAATTACTATGAGTTCTAGAAGGAAAGACAAGAGAATGAATTGAGGCAACATTCAGAAATACTAAGAACTTGTCAGAACTACAGGAAAACAGATGAGCTGTATTGTTGCATCACTAAAGTAAAAGGCAAGGGAGGGTAGGTGTGACCTGGTACTTCGAACACAGAAGAATCTAAATATTGGGCAGGGCATTTTCTTGTTTTATTTAGTCCACGTTATCTGTTGTGATGAAATTTGGTGGTTCATTTAAAAACAGCTCCTGTGTGATTCTTCAACTACAAGCCCTACATTTAACCAATTTGCTTGTTTGTGGCAAGACACTACAGAAGCAAAAAGATGTGACAAACACAGGCTATTTTAAATCACAATACAGAATAACATTTCCTGTGACACTGGGGTGAACCAGAACCAGTGTTCTTATCAGCAACAATGATGCAAGGATACAAGACAGCAATGGCTTCCAGAGCCTAAGGAAGTATCATTATTCCTATTGTCAAACCTAAGTGTGAAGTCAAATTAAGACATATCCAAACAAGCAGATTAGTGCATCAGCAATATCAGTTAAGTGTGACGCAAATGTAAAAATCAAATTATATGCTTCTCAGTTTCATATATTAAAAAAGGATCAACTGGGAATTCTCTGGTGGTCCAGTGCTCAAGACTCGGCACTTTCACTGCCATGGCCTGGGTTCAATCCCTTGTTGGGGAACCAAGATCCCGTAAGCAGCACAGTGCGGCCAAAAAAGAAAAGAAAAGAAAAGAAAAGCGGGGTTGGGGGGAAGATCATAAAACACATTATGGGGACTTCCCTGGCTGTCCAGTGGTTAAGACTGCACCTCCCAGTGCAGGGGGTGAGGGTTCGATCCCTGGTCGGGGTACAAAGATCCCACATGCCTCGAGGCCCAAAAAACGTAAAACAGAAGCAATACTGTAACAAATTCAATAAAGGCTTTAAAAATGGTCCACATCAAAAAAAAAGGAAAAAATCTTAAAAAGAACACATCATGTTGATCAACATAACACACATACTTTGCTGTGTTTCACTGAGGGACTACAAAGGGAATGAACTCCTCAGTGTACAAGAGGCGTGACAGGTGCCCTTCCTGACAGGGAAGTGCAAGTGGCATCTGACACCCAAGAGTCCAAACTGAAAAAGAGTAAAGGTCAAATCCATGTA